GAAGGTGGGGGGGGAGAAGCAGGAGCCAGTGCTGGGGGGGGAGCTGGCTTAAAAGTCTCCACGGGGGGAGGGAGGAGGAAGAGAGGGGGGACGAAAGGAGGGGGATGATGACAGGGAAGGTAGAGGTGCAGTGGGAAATGGCACAGGTGGGGACTGAAGCAGTCTCCACTCATGCCGGTCCAACTGCCGTGCCTCTGTCTTTTAAATGTAGCAAGAGCCCCACAGCAATTGTACTAGTGCTTAACTATTAAAAATGACACTGAATATAAAACAGGTAGTACGAATATTTCATAACCAGGGCTTGCCAAGTGGCGGTGAGCCCGGCTCGCCAGCCGCGCAGTTCAGCACGCTGCGCATGCGCAGACCGCACTGTGCATGCACTTACCGCGCTGCGCGGCTGTGCCAGCTTGTAATTAATTGTCAAGCCCTGTTCATAACCCATTTCTCCCTTTTGCTACTAACAATGAGACTTTGAAGTTACGTGCTCTACATTTTCAAAGAAATTCATTTTGCCTTGGTGTTTCTTCTTCAGTTTAGCATCTTTGTCTTTCAGACTTCCCTCTCCTCCAATTCCTCCTATCATGATTATACACATTCTAATGTTATAGATGACTCTGTAGTTCAAGCCTAGCATATTAAAAAAAAAATTACTTGCACTGCTCCAGTTGCTTAATACTCTAGAACTTTATGCTTTTCTGTACTATTTGATACTGTCAGTTTTGGTGTTTCTAAACTACATGGCTCCGTTGACGGAGCCATGTAGATTAGGCTGATCGGTAGAGGGAAATGAAGCCGTGATTTAAATAATCGTGGTTTCATTTAAATTTAAATGGCTGCCGCGCTCTGTCAACCAGCTGATAATCAGCTGTTTGTCAGCAGATCAGGGCAGTCTGGACGCGCCACAGTCGACAAGGAAGCCTTTGTTGACCGGCGCAGGTAAACCTGGTTTCACGAGGCTTATCTGCGCCGGTCAACAAAGGCTTCCTTGTCGACTGTGGCGCGTCCAGACTGCCCTGATCTGCTGACAAACAGCTGATTATCAGCTGGTTGACAGAGCGCGGCAGCCATTTAAATTTAAATGAAACCACGATTATTTAAATCACGGCTTCATTTCCCTCTACCGATCAGCCTAATCTACATGGCTCCGTCAACGGAGCCATGTAGTTTAGAAACACCAAAACTGACAGTATCAAATAGTACAGAAAAGCATAAAGTTCTAGAGTATTAAGCAACTGGAGCATCCTAATTCCTACAACCTCCATGAAACTTCATGATTCTATATATTTTTGTTAAGTCTCTAAAGGTACAGCTACACAGCAGTGTTATTTTGGAATAAATGACGTTATTCTGAAATAACACAGTGCATGTCTACACTACAAGCCTTTATTTCAAAATAATGTTTCGGACGTCTTACTCTGACTCATGGGAACTCTCATTTCACAAGCAATAAGAGAAGTCAATGGAAGAGTGTTCTTCCTTTGACTTCCTGCTGCGTAGACAGCGCCAAGATCCGAATTAAGCTATTTTGATTTAAGCTACGCAGTTGATGTAGCTGAGGTTGCATTGCTTAATTCAACTTTAGCCCTGCTGTTTATTCCTAAGGTGCCACAGGACTACTCATTCTTTTAACCCATAACAAGATAATATTTAGGAGACTAAAATTTGTTAGAAGACAATATTGCTCTAGGAATATATGATTTTTTAAAAATAATTAATTTTATACATTATGGTTTGATGTCAGCAATTATTTTTATTTTTTTCCTAATGCTTATTTAAGCAAGCAATTATTTGTCCTTTCTGTTGTTTTGATTCTATAGATATAAGTTAGGGACAACATTTTCAAAAGTGCCTATGTAACCTAGAAATCTAGAGTGACTTAGACATTAAGGAGTTCAGGCTCCCACTGACTTTCAAGGAGACAAGTACATTTTTCAAAATGGACTTATCTATGCTATATCTATTTGTCAAATGCTTATGTAAAGCTCCAAAAAGCCCCATCTATAATACAGTGTGGTGGTATCTCTCTCTCTCAGAAAGAAAACTAAAAGTTGGACTACCTTATAATGGATCTGTAACTGTTCATTGGTTGATTCATTCTGAAGCAATGAAGCTCGGTTAATATAGGCCTCCGCCTGAACTGGGTCATCATCCTCCAGGTATAGTCTGGCAATTTTCAGGTAAGTCTCCAATTTGTAATCCACATTGTATTGTCTGTAAAGGAGCAGAAAAATATACAGTGCAGAAATCCAATTGTGTGAGCATTTCAATTTTGCAATCATAAGAGAATGTTAATGTGAGCAAACCTATAGCAATCCCTTATGTGTACGTAGAGAGGAAAAGGGGTATAGACTGTTTTGGAGCGAAGCTTTATTAATCACATTAGCTAGAATTATGCCAATGATTAGGTATTCCATAAAAGTCAGCACTTTGGGAGGCAAGCAGTAGAGATTATTTTGAATTTACCTACACAACTGTCACCACACTAATGAAGATCAAGAGAAATAAGCACAGAAAAATAAGACACACTTTACTCTAGGGAAGCATTTAAACATGGGATAGTCAGCAGGACTAAACTGTAACTACATTATTTACTTTTGTCCTGTTTCCAAAGGGATCCCCACTAACACTTGTGCTGCATTTCTCCAATCTTCTTCTTTCTCATAAATTGATGCAAGATGTTGCCTTATAGAAGCAACCTGGAAAAAAACCACAAAAGCATATTATATGACTGATCCATATTCTATTGACAATCATACCACCTGCTTTTTCTCTCATTTATTAATAGTATTTTCCCAACTACCTGACATATGATACAGCAGTTTCATAATCAGTATACTCCTTCCACCTATCTTTATCAAACAAAGATCAAAAAGTTTTTTAAAAAATGACTAATTGCTTAAACAGCTTCACTTTAGGTGTTCCCAAGTCAAGACACTATAGAGGGACTTGATTTTTTGGAAAGGGCTGGACATTCTCCCTCTAAAAATAATACCCTTTTACCGGTGCTAAGTTAGCATCTCCAAAATTAAGGCACCCAAAATCACTAGCCATTTCTGCAGGTCTGGGCCTAAATAGTTAACTCTCACATCACTCCTATGAAGTAGGAGTGCGCTCGTGTAATTTGGTTCCCAATCTTGAGATTTACCGTGCATGAGCACAGCCGCTGCTGCACACTATCAGTTGTGGGATCAAGGTCTCTCAGAGTAATTGTGATAATTAACTGATCCATTTGCTTGGTGTGATATGCTTAATCCATGTACAAGCATTAAAATCCATGGGTAAGCATATTTAGATGAGCATTGGGATGAAAACTGATTAAACAAACAAAATTGAAACATATGGAAATGTAAAGCAAAGCAAGTGATTGTTTTTTCCAATTCAAATATTACATTTTACCATAATATTTTAATAAAAACTTATTTTCCCCATACACAAATACTACCACTAGCTTATGATACAGAGTATCTAGAAAGAAATCATGAGCTGGCTTGGCATACCCACTAAACTAAATTTTTCAACTGACTGAGGAATTAGAATTTTAAGGGATCTTTTCCCCAATAAACATATTATGAGTTCTTAACCTATTTATGGAGCATTTTTTGATAAAACAATTTTTTTTAAATCAAATATTGTCTCTCCACATGCCCTGCCCATTATGTTACTGTTAGAAAATGTAGCACAATGAGTTCCAGCCTGCATCTCAGTGATTTCTCTAATAGCCAGATTATTGTCTTGCTCTAAGAGGCATGTTTTAGCAGTTCATGAACTAAATACTTTGCATACTGATTAAGAGGCAAGTACAGAATTCTTTGAATATCCAAAATCCTCAATGAATTAAAAAAGGAATTTTGGGTACACAAGAATGTAAAATTGGACTTTGAGTATCCATTTTTACTAGAAAACATTAATACACAATATTTAGGATTAAACTATTTTGAACTTTTTAAGACAAACATACTCATTATTAATCTTATTGTCTTGAAGACCAGAACCAGAAGGGTTAATTGCAGCACACAGAATCTCTCTTACCTGTTCTTCAAATGAAATTACTCTAGGCTGTATCTTTTCCAAGGTAAAGTGATAGATTTCTTTGGCTGTGCTATCAGGAAGATTTGGGAGATGAGTACAGAAATCTGTCAGCAATTGACGTGAGATCACTAGACTGACGTTCTCATTTACCACTAGTACAAAGACAAAATCGAAGGAAGAAATAGAAGAAATATATGTCAATGCTTTCGATATCACCGATCCATAGTTAATCAGCAACTTAATGGTAACTGAATATTCCTGGTTTTAAATCATTAAAAAAAATCTTAATTTTAAGAAAACTAGATTCTATTCTTTATGAACCCTACACTTCCCATCTTCTATATACCTCATAACAATTCTGAAGCATGGCACGGACTAACATATGATATCTTTCTATGGTTTAGAACAGGGTGAACCTTTTTTGGGTTGGGAGCCACTGATCCACAGAAAAAAAAAAATCAGGTGGGGGTCACACACAAGGAAGAAGCAGAAAAATAAAGACAAGACACTCCCCTGACTCCCCTCATGCTCCAGCCCATGGTGGGGATGGGACAGGGTGAGATTCAGGGTTTACCTCCAGGGCTGGATTAACTCTTCTGAAAGCCTTTGATTAATAGATTTTGTTGGGTCTTCCTAGGCTCTGGGGTGAGGCCAAAAATGAGGGATTCAGTACATGGTAGGGGGCTACTGGAGAGTGGGTTTACAGGGCCTGGGTGGGGAGAAGGGTGCAGGAGTGGGCTGGAGAAGTGGGGTCTGAGCAAGAGGGAGAAGGCAGGAAGGGGCAAGGGACTGGGGCAGCTCTGGGGGAGAGGGGCAGGGGGGCCCAGCCAATGAGAGTGACAGGATGGAGCCTGCAAGTGATTAAGGCACGGAGCTTACTGGCACTGCTGTTCCCTGAGCCAAAAGGAAGAGAGAACGGCTGTGCACAGAGTAGGGTTGCCAGATGGTTTCAACAAAAATACCGGACACACTTGACATTACATCACAATCTACAATACAGCTTATTTAGAAAATACCAGACATTTCTAGTTTCTTAATTTGTTTCCCAAACAGAAAGCTCAAATACTGGACTGTCTGGTTCAAAACTGGACACCTGGCAACCCTAGCACAGAGTCGCTTCCCCTCTTTTGCCATGCAGAGCCTGCAGGCCATGTGCGGACCATGGCTTCCCTTGATCCAGCCTACAAGGCTCGGGACTCCCCCTTGCTGCTGCAGGGAGCCAGCGCTGGCACTCCAGCCATGCGGAGGAGTGCCAAGGCTCAGACACAAGGCTGGAACAAGGCTCCTGCTCGCCCCACTGCAGGGGTGGGTGGGAGCACTGAGCCTTGCAGGCCAGATCAAGGCAAACCGCAGGCCACAGGTTCCCCATCCTTGTTTTAGAATGAAAGTTCTTTCTAACCTGCTATTTCTTGGGGTGGAGGGGTGGTTATAACCGTGATTCTTTTTTTATACTGTAGACTGGCAAACCCATTCACAAACTTTTGGTGGACCAGTAACATTTTATTTGAATATTCATTATGAAAATAATAAATATGCAAATAAAATGTTACTGGTCTAAAGCCCCGGCCCCCAGAGCCGCCGCAAACAGCTGGCTTCAGCTCTGGCAGTTGCCATGTGGCGGGGGCAGCTGGCTGCTCACAGCAGCTTTGGGGGTGGGGCACACCCCAGCTCCCTGAACACCCAGTGGCAGCCCTAACCCCTAGACCTCCCATCCCTCAACTACTCCCTGCCCCAGCCACTAACCCGAGTCCCCTGCACCCAATCCCACCCAGTGCCAGCCTCCTGCCCTCAGAGCTCCCCAGTGCCAGCTCCCCATCCCAAACACATCAGTGCCAGTCCCCTGCTCCTTAAAGCCCCCCAACACCAAACCCCCTGTGCCAGCCCACCTCTTAGAGCCCCCCCACCCCTAGAGCCTCCAAGCACTAGATCTCCCCCCAACTCGCCCCGGAGCCCCTCAGCGCCTGCCTCACCTCCTTCACCTAGCCCTGTGCTGACTCCCAGCTGCCAGTTGAGCACTGCTAACTGGGTCACAGCTACTCTAAGGCTACCGTGCCAGGCTCTGCATGGCCCTCCCGCCGTGCAGACAACTGCTCTTCCATGTCCAGGAGGTGACCCTGGTTGGCTGCGAGGCGGGGCAGAACACACCTTTCCCAACAGCAGCAGGGGAGGGGCTGGGCAGTGTACCCCAGCCCTGGCCCCCAGAGCTGCCGTGGCCTGGCACAGCGGTTGGTAAGTGCTGTGTTATAACCACCTTGGGCAAGCTAAGACTTCATGCTAATTTTTATCATGCCTGTTCTCAGTCTGGACAACTGATCCAGGGAAACTTTGGTAAAATTATTTGACAGTTTTAAATATCCAAGTATGAGGGGGGGAAAAAAGGTCTTGAGCATTTTTTCCTGTTTTGTAAACTTTTGAATTAATGTGTAAAAAGCATTTTTGAACCAATAATCACTTTAGTCCTCAGCAGAGGCCAGCTATCTTGGGTTTTCATATAGTGAATATGTACAGTGCTCATTTTATTTCTTTTATCACATTTATAGTGCAAATATTTGTAATCAAAATAATAATATAGTATTTTTCAATTCACCTCATACACGGACTTTAGTTCAAACTTAGAAAGATGGCTTTTTGTTGGGTTTTTTTGGTTACATAATTGCACTCAAACACAAAACAATGCAAAACTTTGGAGTCTACAAGTTCACTCAGGCCTGGTATATGCTATGAGTTCAGGTTGAATTTAGCCTCATTTTCTAAACACTGAGCCCACACTACCAAGGCCGTTCTGTCGACTTCAAGGGCAGCTGAAGTCGATTTCAATAGTCCTGCTTTTCACGAAGGGTAATGCAAAATTTGACCTGGCATGGTCAAATTCACAGTAGTGTAGACTCAGCGCTGAGGAAGTTGAGGTTCTTGGCCACCAGGGGGCATCCCACAGTGCCCCGTGCTGACCGGAACAGGAACTATACGATTATTTCAAATTTACTAAGTTCAACTTCTGGGCACGCGATTTTGAGAAGTGGAAGTTCCGTGTCCTCGCTATGGGGAAGAAATGAATTTGCTCCGAAGTAATGCATTCACATTCACGGAGCCTGCCTTGGAATCTGAGACCCAGAAAGCACGCTGGGAAGCACACCAGGACAGCGGATACTTCTGGTATCCTGTTGGTCTGGAAAACAGCAATGGATGTTTACAGGGGCTCCTCTCCATATCCATGTCCCACAAGGCACTCTTCCCACTCCCATTCTCCCCCCGCAGGACTGAAAAGGGGCACACTGGGTATGCTCTGGTTGCCCACGTGGACACCATCGCACTGTGACCATGGAGACAGAGCTGCTGCAAAGCAGTACCATGCTCATGGCTTTCATGCTGCACCTCATGGTGCAGTACACCAACAGCGCCTGCATGTTGCTCCACCAGGCACATAACGAGAACGAAGAGGACGGTCCCTAATATGGCCCTGCTCAGCCAAGTCTTGGTGCCATGCTACTGTTCATGCGCCTCAATCCCTTGGACACAGTTGAATGCCACTTCTGACAGAGGTAGATGAGCTCGGACTGCTGGGACCACATCATCATGCAGCGATGGGATGACCAGCAATGGCTGCATGCACAAGGCCACCTTCCTTGACATCAAGAGGCATCAGGAGAGCAATGTAACCCGCCATTCCCATGCAGAAACGGGTGGCTGTTGCCTTCTGAAAGCTTGCCACTCAGCTGGACAGCTACCACTCAGTCGGGAATCAGTTCAGGGTGCAGAAATCCACAGTTGGGCCTATGCCAGTATAAGTAGTCAAGGTCATCAACCAAGTTCTGCTATGGAGGGTTGTCACTCTGGGCAACGTGGACAACATCACGGACAGCTTTACCAACACGGGCTCCCCAGCTGTGGGGGGTAAAGGCAGAACACACATCCCCATCCTGGCTCCCAACCACCGGGCCTTAGAGTACATCAACCGCAAGGGGTACTTCTCCATGGTGCTGCAGGCACTCATGGATCACAGGGGACGCTTCCCTGATATCAATGTTGGATGGTTGGGAAAGGTGCATGACACGCGCATCTGTCTGAACTTCTCCCTGTTCAGAAAGATGCACGCTGGCACTCCCCCCCCCCCCCACTGGACAATCAGTTGGAGAGGTGGACATGCCCACTGTGATCCTGGGCAACACAGCCTACTCCTAGCTCCCCTGGCTCATGAAGTCCTACACAGGCAGTTCGGACCACAGCAAGGAGCAGTTCAACACTAGGCTGAGCAGGTGTAGAATGGTGGTGGAATGTGTGTTCGAGCATTTAAAGGGGAAGTTCAGGAGTCTCCTCACCTGGCCTAGACCTCAGTGAGTGCAACATCCCCTTTGTGGTGGTGGCCTATTGTGTGTTCCATAACCTGTGAGAAAACAAGAGGGAGACTTTTCTGCCAGGGGGTGGGGCTGAGGCAGAACACCTGGCCTGGGAGTTTGAGCAGACAGACATGAGTGCCATATAGCGAGCACAGCAAGGGGCAGTGCTCAGAGAGGCCTTGAAAGACAGTTTTATGCAAGGCCAGTTTTGAGACTCTCTCTCCCGCCCCCGGCTCTCCACAAGGGGCCCCTGCATTCCCTACGTGTGCCTTTCATCCCCTTTCCTTCACCTGCCCTCCCCTCCCTCGCAGAGCAAACAAAGAGATTGTTGAAACAAACAGGAGTCTTTTCAGGGGACATACAACAAGGAGGGAATGGAAAAAGAACCTGGAATGGGGGAGGGAAATTCAGAGACAGGGCTGGGACTGGCAACTGCCTCCAGCTGCCTTAGAGGGCCCACCACCATGTGTTCTGGGGTCCCGGAAGCCCCTGGGGACCTTTACAGGGGAAGCCATCGGGCTGGTGGGGAGGTGGCTGGCCCACTGCCACATGCTCCATCTCCGCAATGAGGGTGGAGAACATGTTCTCCGGCTGGCATGCCAACTGTTCCCATACAGCCTCTCTCCTCTCCTGGTCAGCCTGGCACTCCTCTCTCTTGACAACCGGATCCAGGCACTCTGCCTCGACTTCCTACACAAAGGACTGAAGGCAGTCCAGCTACTCCCTCATGAGCTCACCCCCGGTTCTTTTTCTCCTGCGGATCCCGGTCAGGTAGGTAGATGCAGTGAGAGGTGGGGGATGCGCCCAGCTCGCAGCTG